GTCAGAAGGTTACTATTAAATATTAAAACTGGATTAATATCTGAACAATGAACAAGCAAGATAATTAGGGTTGTATGTTTATACACTGCCATCAGAGGTAAGGGTTATCAAACTTAAGAGTTATGGATTTAATTGTGTCACCAAAAATACATATGTTATAAATCCTAACTTCTGTGCCTATGGCTATAATCCCAACTAGGAATGGGTTGTCTTTGTTACGCTAATGAGCAGGGTTAGTGTAGGGTGTGTGCTGGGTAAATCTCTTACAGAGACATAAAAGGAGCAGATTAAGCCAGCACAGGCAGGGGAAGAGAGATGCCAAAGCCCATGGAGCTGTCCAAGGAACGAGGAAACAGAAACTGAAGAGAGAAAGCCTTCCCCTAGAGCCAGCACCCTGAATTTAGACTTCTGTCCTCCTAAACTGTGAGAAAATAAATTCCTGTTTGTGAAAGCCATCCACTTGTGGTATTTCTGTTAGAGAAACACTAGATAACGAAGATAACAAGCATTAAAAAAAATTCATTTCAGAAAGTCAAGTTCAATTATTTCAATACACTTGACAAACCAAAGAATGAATCATTTAGCATAAACTTTGATGAAGTACATGCAAACCAATGTCCAATTCTTTAACCTGTCTTTTCTATATTAGATACTAGTTTATTTATTCCTTCTTTCATAATAGTAAAGATAGTCAGTTATTCATAAGGTAAAGAGTGCTACAAGATTCCACAAAATGGATCAATGTACCAGCATCAGCTTTTAGGGACATAATAAAAGCCTGGTATGACCTTATATACTGAGAAGATAAAGATATAGTCCTTCCACCACTTTTGGCACCTAAGAGAAGAAAAGGTCTATCTCAGCTAAGAAAGGGTCAGCGGAGTTTGTTTTCCCCAGGTATCAAGATGGTAAAAAGGAATATATAGAAATCATTAAATTATATCTAACATGGGGTCCTTTGAAAGAGCACATATTAAAATCTGAATGCATTAATGGATTTAAAGAGCAGAAAGGATGAAACTAGGTATGAAGATTGTGAGACATTACTTTGCAGGAGATGCCCTGGTGGATTAAGTTAGGTTCTTCAAGCTTTTTCTAAAATCCTGACAAAGAATAAATTTTATCTCTGCTCTCCCTAATGTCTTCCAGCAATGCCTATTCCTTTTTCAATACTACATGAGCTCCTATTGCTTACTTGGGATAATTCCTAGATTGAATGAAGGGCAGAATTTCAGAATCTTGACTGGCTGAAGGAAGTAGTAAATCTCGGAACCGTTCTGTCAAAAGAAAAATAAACACGAAGCTGTGAAAAAATAAGTCATGAAAATAATTTCAATAAAAAATTATCACCTACTATGTTATTTTGTTGAACATTTTGACAGCATATCTGTATTCTAAATTTACCCACCATTTTCTATATAATTTTATGTTTTCTGGTTAAAAAACATTGCAAATCCTGAAAATATAAAAATATCAAATATTCATTAGTATAGACTTAGAATCTTATAAATAAAAGGTTAGAGAAAACACATATGACTAACAAACATACTAAGAGAGGCACAACCTCATTAGTAACCTGTGAAATGCAAATAGAAACTTCATACCATCACATAGCATTCACATTGTAAATCATTCAACTAACAGTTTGAGAGATCAAGTGTTAGGGAGGATA